CCGCATTATGCCATTGAGCGAGGCGGTTGAGGGATATGCATTGTTCGATCAGATGAAGGTCCAGAAAGTTATTTTCACTCCTTGATTGAAAGCACAAACTCGTAGCGAGAAGATGTCGCCTCCCTACTCAGCATGATAGCAGGAGTAGTATGGAGTTTGCGGTTGCGGTGCTGGAATGTTGAGATAGATATAGGATCAATGCCTTAATTCTGTCTTGGCTTGACGATACCGTCGTGAATGAGGTAATAAGACACGGTCGAATCGTCGTGGACCACGGCAAGGAGTAGTCTCTTTTGACGATCTGTGCCACGCCAATCCCGCTTCTGGGGTCCATCGATGGTGCTTGCTGGATCGAGTTCTCGTGGCAGAGTGTCGATGGAGTCAAAAATTGTAGCAAAAGAACTCAGCGTCCATTGTTCGCCCAGATGCACTGGGAGAACCCACTCATACTCGGGGGCCTGGCTCGAGCGCTTGCCGGCGGTCTGTTCCATTTCCAAGACCTCAATTTGTTCGTCTGGGTGCATGTACAGCCTGTTAGGCGGGAGGCCGGTGATGATGGGACGCTGTCGGCTTTTCCCGTCACTCCGAACCTCGACATCAGTCCAGTCATGCTGATCTCGCAGGTTGCCGAGGACTAGATCGGTAAGGTTGGTTAGATGTTCTGCGGTTGCCATTGCGCCTGATCCAATCTTGATGAGGTGTTGGAGAAACGGAGTTGCTAGGGCGTAATATATGTTTGAGAAGACCAAAGTCACCGAGGAAGTTGTTGCGGTTGTCGTTGAAGAGTTCTCAAGGTTCTCAAGACAAGTGGCCCCAATAAGACTGTCGGTATGCCAATCAGAGGTGCTCCTTGGCAAACGATTTGCTGTGTCATCGATAAATGCATAAATATCTATTAAGGACACTTACATGCACGTATAGAGGCTTCTGCGGTACTTTCAGGACCTCCGTGGCGTTTGGTCCCAGTAGGTGCCTACCTACGCCTACCTTACCTTACCGATGTAAATTAATCACCCAGTTTAGCCTATGGGTGCAGGCGGAACAGAGAAAGAGGACAAAGGTTTTGGTTGTGGCATATTTGCTCCTTACAGATACTCATATGTTATTAGTCCAGCGCACCTTGTCCGCCGGGTGGATGTAGTCATCGTCATAGGTAAGTAGGGAGCGAAACGATCCGAAGTGTGCATAATATCCATGCCTTGTCAAAGCCACACCTACGTTTCCTATTCTCAGCCCCGCTCTGAGGCTTGTGAATCTCCGTCATGTTTCTCTCCTGGGCCAAGCTGATTGTTTTAGCCAGGCACACAGCAACGGTTCCTCACCCATCCTAATTGGCTTGTCTCACTTAAATCAAGAATGGGATAGTTGGTGTTGATGATTGCTATCTTAATACATTCTGCGGTACCTATTCCCAAGAAGAAGAAGAAGATATTGTATTTCTTGCGACTTTTTGAACATGAGAGCTGCAGCGGCAATCGTCATTTATACAAGAATGTCCTAGCTTGAATGTCTGAACGAATCCACCGGCAGGCCGGCAACTCAAATTCAAATGCTCTGTGGCTCTCAAGAGTTGAGACAAAACCCACAGAGCAAAGCACAGCTCATCGGCATCCACGGTCCACTTCTCATAATCCTGGTCAACCTACGTAACCGACGGAAACGCGAGCCAACCAACAGCCAAGGTTTGGGGCAAATACGTGCACATGCCTCTCAGATCCCGTCATGAGTACGTACCGAAAGGCAGGCTGTGTGGTTGTGTCGCTGACCTCACTGCGCGTGTTGTCACACAATCTGCAGTGGCTGTGGTCGTGCAAAGTACCTAACAAAGTGTATTCCCGGTCCATCGTACGCGTATTGACGTAAGGGTCCAGATTTGCGACGGCTGTTTTGTGGTTCCTGCCCCTAGATCACTTGAGATGGACACCAGCGTTTCCATGCGGACAGTGTCTATTGGCCGTAGCCCACGGCAAACGGGCTCTAGCCTCTGACAGGTTGACAATGAAGCAGCCTGTCACGCCTGGACGGAGAACTTTGGCCGCCCCTCCTTCAAGGCACAGGCTACCATGTAGCAGGGCAGGCATAAACGGGGAGTCCATCCGTCCATCAATGGAAGTCCAATCTTCCTTCCCAAGGTCGGTGCTTATTAGCGTCTCATTCCATTACGCATTTCCCATGTTCCGCCCCTTTCCACCACTAAAGGCCTAGACCCAGCCCCCCCCCCCCCAGGACTCTTGGGCACTTTGCTATATCCTCCGACCCTGGCTCAGCATTGTGGCTTGCAAGTCTTCCTTTCCTCTCCTGCTTTTCTTCGACACCGGCCCCCACATAACACCTCTTTGACAATCGCCGTACCTTGTTTTATTTTTTTTGATTGAATTCTCCGAATCACTCTTCCTCTCCCACGCCGCGCCAGCTGCCTTTCCCGTTTACTAGGTCGGATATTCAAAGATACCCTTTATTGACCCCCGCCGGTTCTTCGTCGCTGCTTCCTGGCAGCAGTTTTCTGTCAACGACTCGGTCTTGCGTGTTGCTGTGTTAGTCTCTAATTATTCAATTCTTCGACAACACCAGCGGTACATCGTTATCCACAAAAGCACTTTGAGTAGGACCTACCGCACCAGCCTTTTCTTTCCTACGCTGTTTGTCGAATCGTCATCGATCTTTACAGCTGGTCTTCAACCCAGCACCAGATACTCGAACGATTCCGAATCAGAAACACTCTCGCGGTCGACACACGGGGGCTCGTCTGTACGGATCACACGCCGCACTTGCACCAATCTGCAGCGGGCGATACCGAAACACGTTGCTATTCCTTCTGGGTCAGCAGCAAGCATACGTCTCGAGGGACCGAAGGCCCTGAAGGCGTCTATATCAGACAGCAACAAAAGCTTCTGGAATCCGACGCAATGTCTCGCCCAGATTCTTCACTGGACAGCAGCGAGAAGGACAGGAACGCGCCGCTGGACCACCCTAACTCCGATCAGTCCACAACCGAGACGAAGTTCTCCGACAGCAATAACAGCAACCTTAATGAAGATAAAAAACAAGATGTTGAAGGAAGAATACCAACCAGTGCCGCCTCCGCTACCGTGGCCACTGCAGAGCACGAACTGTACGAACCCTACGACAACGGCTACCACTTCCCACCCGCACACACCAAGTCGCAGTCTATGAAAATTGGCGCAAAAGCGTTCTGGAATTACACCTGCACGCCCCTCGGCTTCTTCGTCGTTCTCTACGGCCTGAATGTCGTTGCTTGGGGCGGCATGCTGTTTCTGCTACTTTGCAATGCGTCCCCGGCAATGTGCTACCCGACATGCAACGATATCAACTCTCCCCGGCGCAAATGGATCGAATGGGATTCACAGATTCTGAACGCTCTGTTCTGCGTCACAGGATTCGGATTGGCGCCGTGGAGATTCCGTGATTTGTATTTCTTGATGCAGTATCGCATCCTGAAGAAACCTGAAGCTCTTGGCCGGCTTGCGGGTATACACCGCGGATGGTTCCGTTTGCCTGGGTCTGACCAACTCCCTGTCCATATTGGCCCCGAAAACGTCACGGAGCTGGCAAACGAACGGCCTGTGTTGCACATTCCGCACCCCGAGAAAGCTATTCCAAACGCTCCCCTCACTGGAGTTCGAGCACCTCCCACAGCAGTTTGGAAAATGGACTTCGTCATCTGGTTCAATGTGTGGAACACATTCTTGCAGTGTGTTCTCTCAGGCTTCATGTGGGGAATGAACAGATTCGATCGACCCAGTTGGTCCACCGGTCTTTTCGTTGCGCTTGCTTGTTTGGCGGCTGCCATAGGAGGCTTGATGATGTTCTTCGAGGGTAAGAAAGTGAAGAGCATTGAAGGCGTGCCGCTCAGCAAAGAAGATGAGGAGCGTCTAGCCAAAGATAAGGAGATGGGAGTTCACCATTACAACAACATCAAGGACAAGAAGCCCAAGGAAAAGAAATAGGTTAGTAAAGTGGGACTAAGCCACAGACGAGATACCTATACACGAAGAGTAATACAATACGCAATGACATCTTAATTTGCTGAAAGTGATGTTTATCCTTCCCGCGATGCCACTTGATTTTTGTCAATGGTCAGGAGCACAAGATGATTCCCAGTTATGATGCACCTCATGGAGATCCTAGCGGGCAGGTGGATGCATATATTAACTGAAGATAACATGGTTCTGAACGATGTCGCTTGCACGGCCTATATCAGATTCCACTCAAGGTTAGAGCGGCTTTGCTATACTCACCAGATTTGATGAAACAAATCCGCTGCCGACCACTTTCAAATGACTTTGGGGTTTTCCTTCTCTTCTTTCACTGACGGGGCAGTAACTGATGTGAGAGAAATTTTCGTTTGGTTGATTTACTCTCTTGGCTTACCATGGCCCACAACCCACGTTGATGGTTAACATCGAGGCTAACCCGTCAGAGTCTCACATGGACGCGTGACCAGCTCCAGAACGCTAAACAACCAAAAGCCTCTAAGGTACTCCGTATTAACTACCTACCTAACCCGGACGCTAAATGGAGTGGAGGTCAGAAGGTGCATAAGGTAGGCACGGGGCCGCGTGCGTCCATTTTGGGGAGCCGAGTGGGTTGCGGAAGTGACATCGACTTTGCTGAGGTACTCTGACACCTAAACACAGCACAGGAAGTACCCGAGGTACGAGCAAGACCACCGGCGTCCACCTTACCCACTGATAAGCGGCTCGTTCCATCACTCAGCTCAACACCTCCGCCACGTCCAGATGAATACGGCCGCTACATCAACCTTCATCTCGACAACGACGGCTGCTGTGCTTGTCCAAAGAACAAATTCCCTTTCCTCCAGCCTCTTCCGGCTGCGTGTTTCCCCAAAGCAGTCTCGTATCATAACGCAATTAGAGGGGTGACTGGAAAAGGATACATTTGGTTCTGCATCATCTCGTCTCTCACAACTCCACCTGCCCACAGTCGTCTCGCCGGTCAAGTTCGACAGTTCGCTCAACATGGCTTCCCGGGCCCTTATTCCCTTTCTTGTCGGCATGATGCTGTTGACAGGCGTCTGCAATACCCTTCTCACAAAGTATCAGGTATATTGGAACTCCTTGGCTCCTGGAAACCAGATGCTAACTCAGCTTCCCCCCACAGGATATGCAATGCGTCCGCAACTGCGATGCGAAGGACCCCACGAAACGGGCATACTTTAACCAACCTGTACTGCAGACAGCACAGATGTTTGTTGGAGAGATGGGTTGTTGGCTGGTCATCGGTTTGATGAACCTGTATCGTCGCTATGGACCCGGAGCGAACCCCACGGCTAACGGCTACGAGGCCGTCAACCCGAATGATGCCGATAATGCAGATGCTCCTCTTGTCGGCAACGTGGACGGACGCCCGAAGCCTCAAGAAGAGGAAAGCGGTGCTATTCTGCGCGGGCCTCGTATTTTGCTATTGGCGCTCCCAGCCATCTGCGATATTCTCGGTACAACGCTGATGAACATTGGTCTTTTGTTGGTTGCGGCCTCCATCTACCAAATGACTCGCGGCGCCCTCGTTCTCTTCGTCGGGGTGTTCAGCGTCATTTTCCTCAAGCGTAGACTTTTTTTGTTCCAATGGCTGTCCCTCGTCGGCGTTGTCACGGGCGTCGCAATCGTTGGATTGGCTGGTGCCATCTACCATGAGAACACGAACGAGGCTGACGTCGAAGAAGGCTCCCCCGAGTCCAATGCCTTGTTGACGGTTGTGGGTGTTCTCCTCATTGCCGGCGCGCAGATCTTCACTGCGACACAGTTCGTTTTGGAGGAATGGATTCTGGAAAGGTCATCCATCGAACCTATCCGTGTCGTTGGATTCGAAGGTCTTTTCGGCTTTACTGTCACAGTCATTGGCATGATTGTCTTGCATCTAGCTATCGGGAAAACCGATGCTGGACGCTACGGATACTTCGACATGGCCGAGGGCTGGAGGCAACTTACGCAGAACAGAGCCATCGGGATTTCCAGCATCCTGATCATGATCAGTATCGGGTACGTTCATACTTTTTACCTGACAAGCAGACGACTTACTAACGCGCGCCGTGACAGTGGTTTCAACTTCTTTGGTCTCTCCGTCACCAGAAGCGTCAGCGCTACCTCGAGATCTACGATCGATACGTGCAGAACTCTCTTCATCTGGATCGTCTCCCTCGGGCTCCGTTGGGAGACCTTTAAGTGGCTGCAAGTCGTTGGATTTGGCCTGCTTGTCTACTTTACCTTCCTCTTCAACGGAATTGTGCAACCCCCTTTCCAATTTCTTGTCCCTGACGAAGAGGTGGAGGAACTACTTCCGGAAGAACCCATCGAACACCAGTGAAGAGAAGGGGCATAGTACGGTTTAGTCAGCGGGGTTGCGGTTGGCTCCTTCCCATGGCCAGAGTTTCTGCTCTAGATTGTAGCTTGATTTAGATCAGGTATGGAAGCGGCTGTATTCTAGGCGTGCGAGAATCAGTCACTCAAAGATATGGTTCAGTTGCACTCCACGAACCGTCTCTATTGTGCTTCAACTAAGACTAAATGAGAAAACCCAATGCCATATTTCCCAGCAACCCCGAGTAAAGATCTCCTAACTTATTGGTTGAGCGGGAGGTGTGAATGCTGACAGACTTTGAGGGATCGGCTGACAACCAACTGACAGGTATATGCCACTCTCACGGAGTCAGATGAAACCCGATTGCCTGGCCAGGCGCTGCGATCGGCCCCAAATGGAGACCGTCCTATACACCAAGAAACGCCGCCCGTATGCAAGGCATCATGGTGCCTTTGCCCCCGAACAAGAACCCGACGAACTGAAGCTCAAACGCCATATCTCAACATAGTATCCCTTCCCCTTGGGAGAGCTTTGCTTGTCACGCGAAAGGTCTAGGTGACGTTGCAAAGAAGCTCAGCCTCAAGTATAAACTTGCCCTCCTTGTACTTCTCCGTAGCCTCGTATGCTTTATCGTACTTCCAGCCAACGGTCTCCTTGCACTGCTTGCAGGTGATATCGCGTACGATGTGTCGTCCAGTCGTCATGTTTCGTTCGCTGGGCTCGCCTGTCTCGATGTTGACGACGCTGTTGAATAGGTATGCTTTGCCATGCTGGCCTCGGAAATTCTATTGTTGACACACTTGTCAGCGCGTGTACATAGATGGCTACCAGAGAGGTGGAGACGATGTCTGCTTGCGTGGTCCAAAGCTTGTTGGAGCATGCGATGCAGAGCAAGGAGGAGAGAATATCCTGATGAACCATACCCGGCTTATGATATCTTCATGGTTCGACAGATGCGCCTTGCATGTTTTGCAGCCATAGACCTTGTTGCTGTTCAAGTACGTGTTGTACGCCAACCCCATTATGTGCAAAGTCTCCTCCTGCGCAGGCAGGATACGGTGGGAGATGGAACGGTTGTGACTGGTCGCGAAGCCTTGCCACTCAATAGCGGCAGGCAGCTTCGGATTTGGTGCTGTCGTCGATATGCTTCTTGCAAAGCTGCAGAAAAGAAGGAGAGCTTCCTCCTCGAAGCGCTTTACCGAAGGACAGAATGAGGATAACGTGGAAGGGGGGTTTCCCTGGTTGACGTGGTAGGTGTTTTGAAGTCCGGAAAAAGAGCGTAGGGCAGGCGGGTGTGCGGGAGACGGGAGGGGGATATGTGCCCAGGCCGGATGGATGCGGCGAACGCTCAGGTGAGCAGGTGAGGTGAGGGTGCAGCTGAGGTAGACAGGAGAGATAAGATAGCCCTCTGAAGCGCGCCCGCCGTGGACCCTCCTGAAATCACCAGTCCGCTGTGTGACGGACGTCAGCAACGTTCGATTTCCTTGGAATGGGGACCGAGCTAAGCTGGGCCTCGGAGGGAAGCACTGGGGTCAGGCTGGGGCCAGGCTGGGCCACTTTTCGACTGTGTGCTCAGTTAAGCCTAGAGACCTGTTGGCTATTTGGCTGTTTCCGTCTTGGGCCGTCAGGGTACAAATTCAAAAGATTTATTCATCAAAGAATGCGGAGGACGGGGAAGGGTTAGAAAGGCAGCAGCTTGTCTAGCTGACAGAAGGCAACGGCGGAAGGAGGGGTCGGTGAAGAAGCCGGGGATGGTTGACAGGGGACTTGGCACTGGGAGTGCACTGGTGACATTCCGACGATGATAGGTACCTTAGGTAAGGCAAGCTAGGTACATTGAGCAAAGCCTCGGAAACAGCACACTACGGATACCTACCTGAAGGGAAGGTAAGGTACGGAGTAAGGTAGGCTGGGTTTCAGTGACGTATCTTGCACGGGATTCCCCACTATGTCTCTTAGATACATGAATTATGTGTGAAATATGTGGTATCACATATACATAAAACTACGGTCTAAATCGATCCCCTATATATACATTGAACTAACCCGTTGTGCCTCGATCGCCAGGTAGGTACGGTAACCTCATCCTAATAACTCACCCTTTGCTCTTGTGTTGACGTGTATTGCTTCGCAGCACATGGAGGTCGCCTGATGCAAAACCACTCGAAACCCTATTGCGTTTCTGCTGCAGTTGCGCAAATATGCCCTTTCCATCTTACCACGAGAAAGCCTCTTCGTTGAAGTCAATGGCTGAATCATGCTGGCGGTCGCGAACGGCGCGGCGCACCTCGTCGCTGAGAGCGCCAGGACCACAGACACTGATGCCCATGGTTCCAACTTGTGACTCCTGCTCAGCCTTAATGAGCGTCTCGATGTTGGGGCGTCCAGGGAACATTTGAACAGTAGACGAAGGACTGTGAATCTCCTTGGTTGACCTTGGCCGACTGACGAAGAGCATGATTCGGAGAACATCTCTGCGTTTCTCCATGGCCAGGATCTCCGTCATCCAAGGGCGAATCCACTCGAGATGCTCAGGACTCTGGATGGTCCAGATGAGAATAACTTTTCTTGCGGCGACAGTTCCGTTCGCATAGCCGGCGACGAGATCGCGAACGTGAGGTACCTGATGAGTAATGCCAACACCGCCAGCAAACAACATAACCGTACCATAAGAGCGCATACTGTGCAGTCCGCCATAGGGCCCCTCCACCATGCATGTCGTAGTCATTTTGCCCTCAGGACAAGCAGCGGCCTTGCGATACAGTGTGTCGGTCATTCCAGTGCGGGCGCGGATGATGAAGGACATGGTGGTCTTGCGCATGGCGAGAATGTCTTGACGGTTAAGGGACCCCTTCTCAGCCATAGGATCCTCAGCCTCCTCGCTCCAAGCGACGGAAAAGGGATGAGACTGCAACAGGCTGAGGGACGGCATGTACATGTAGGCATGCTGGCCGGGCCCAAAGGTCCAGGGTCGAGCCATCGTTACCGTAACACGGCATGCGTTGCCAGGAAGAGCCTCGACGAGGGCCTTGCTGCCGCCGTGCCCGACATTGCCGTAAAACACCCTCCAGGCACGCCAGACGCGATCACCGCCCCAGAAGATGATTACGGGCCACATGTACTTGAGCTGGGGCAGGGCCTTCATCTGCAAGTGGTACCAGGTACCAACAACAGCCGTGATAGCGAGCAAAATGTGAAGGAACTTGAACGTCTCGTAAAAGGCGTGTCTGATCGGGCTAGAAGCCTGGATTCCGATGGCCACGAAAGCGCAAGTGGCCTTTCATCGAGGTTAGTCTCATTGCCTCAACATCGTTTGACTTAGGGCAGTTTCCCACTTACAACAAAACCAAAGAGCAAGAAGGGAACGGTCGTTGCTGAGGTGATAGCTGCCTGCCAGCTGCTCTTGTTGGCAGTGTTGGCCATCCAAGCCAGCGTATGAGCAAGAGCCTCCAAAATGACAATACGGCCGAACCAACGATGCAACAAGTTGAAAGTATCGAAGGACATGCCAAGCATGGGAATCAAAGGGTTGTTTCGGCCACCCATCAGGAATAAGGGAATCTACCATCCGGTTAGTGTTCACTGTACGAGTGGTGTCTCAGGCCTGGCCAGCACAAGTTTCCTTGATATCTGAGACTCGCTCATCAGGATAAGCTGTTCACGACTCACCATGTTCACAACAGCCAAGGTACCAGTTCGGTTTCTCAGCTGCGACGCAGCCGCGGCAAAAGAGCCGGCAAAGGGGATGTTAATGACACAGAAAGCGATGTTCGTGGCGAAGTAACCGGTGAGGAACAGAAGCTGGAGTCGGCTGGGGAGGGTGCCGACATTGATGGCAGAACTGAGCTGGATTTCGCGGTTATGGCGCTTGCTCATGACCGGGGCGTAGAGGATGTTCTTCTTCATCCAGGAGACCTTGGAGTCTGACTGGGCAAAGTAGCGCTGGTTGTCGTTGTTGAGACAGGCAACGGTGCGAACATATCTGACGATGACGGTCCATACTCTCCAAATGATGACGGCTGCGGCAATGGCAGCGCAGATGTAGTACAGATAGTTGGAGAGGGAGACGTTCTCGTTGGCGGCATCGATAGCCGCCTGTTGCTCCTCGGGAGACTTCGTTGCGCCTCCAGCGGCCATGGCGAAGGTTGAGTTCGAAGATATGAAAGGCTTAGACCAGAAGGTAAAGAGAGAGAGAGAGTGAGGTTTTGTTGACCCGTCGTCGTGATTGGTTGTCCTACTTCCAATATCCCCCAAGTTGCACAGCAAATTCACCGGAAGTCGAAAGAGAAGGTAGCTCGTTTGCGCGTTGTCGAGAGTAAATCGCCTACAAGGAGATTGGTCAAGGCGGTTAATCAGACACTAAGTCGTATAGATCTGGTGGGGATTGTCGTTTTTCTTTCCCGTCTTTTGGAATTTATCTCGAAGCCGGCACGATGGGTACTTCCAAAAGGGGTGGGCCAGTGGAAAGAAGCGTCAAAAAGTGCAGTCAATGCAATAACAGAACTGGCGTCAGTGGAAAGAGAAATTGGACGTCTTTGGGTGAGCGACGTCAGCTGACAACCCAAGTCTGGTAGGACGAGGGAGTTTGTGAAAGGGAAGGACGAGAAGGGAACAAATGGCCGTGGAGTGGAAGGAAAGAGAGAGAGAGGGGAGAGAAGGAGCAGAAATTGTGAGGAATAAGAGGCGAGAGATATCAGTGATGTAAAGGTAAGTACGGATACCAGACACACCACAGAGGTACATAGTCAGGTACTTTGCAATCCACCTTAGTCTAGGTACCTACGTTCACTAACTGGACAGGATTGACTGGACCGAACTTGCGCAAGGCAAAGGGGAGTCCGACTAGGAATTAGTCGACCCCGGGCCCCAAGATGGTGCGTTCCTGGATCCTCTCTGGGAGGGCTGCACCGTGTGGGCCGTTACCCGAGAGTATGTGAGTGGAGGTGTGTGAACTGATACGGCCCAGTTGATGGAGACTAAAACACCGTTTTCCACAAGGCAAGGAG